TAACGTTTACCACTAGCAGATAACCACCGATAACCATACACGCCTCGCTACAAAGCCGTCTATTTATTCGGATCCATCAGCCGTTCAGAGGCGCTGCTCAGCATCGCATGCGCTACGGATTTGCAATTCTAATCATTGCATATCATGTGCTACTTTGCCATTTCCTGAAATTTCAGCTCACTCGCGTAAGTCCTTCATGGTGTTGCAATTTTCACAAACGTGAGTATAAATAAAACATGGTTTGCAAAATAAAAGACTGACAATAGCACCTTAATATAAGAAACTACTACAAAATTAGATTCAGTTAACAATTATTTAATATTCACTTAATAACTGAAATATGACCCACAACTTTAAGTATGAATAGATTCAAATTTAGTATATAGAAATTAAAATTAAAATCAGAGGATCTCTCCTCTCCCCAAAGAACAGTAATTTTAAAGCAAATGATCGATTAAATATTTTAGACAGATTTTTATAGCAGAAAACACATTTTGAAACTTTAATTCTACTTACACCAGGTAACTATCTTTAAATTTTCAAAAGATATGTGAATAATTTAAAAATACTTCTGATCTTAATGCTACAAATGTTAGCACAAAGATTCACTTTACATTCAGAAGGAAATCATTTTATTAAAATCATAAAACTTTTAATTATAACAACTTGGTAATTAAATACATATTCAATTACACTTACACTATTACATACATATGGTTAGGGGTAAACAGGAATAATACCAGATTAACCAATACATAAATAAGACAAATGCTAAGGGCCTGCAATTCAGAAAAGCATGGCTTCAGTATGGGGAAAAAATCCTCAATAAATTAAAAAAAAAAAAAAAAAAAAAAAAACTTTTCATAAACCTTTAATAATATAGAACATGTATGTCATAATGTTTAAATATAAATAAATATCATCATAATAATAGATAAAGTAATAAAATCAGATTCGTGCCACATACTGCATAAGCATACAGTGCATTAGTGTACACAAAATGTACATGCTTGATAACTCAATATACATACTGTGCATATAAATAGTCATTGTTTGATGTTTTCAAACAGTATAACAGCTACAGTTAAGTACTGTAGTAACAACTGACAAACAGCAAAATATAAATGTGCATTCTCTGTTCTATTTCAATGCAAGTAACATAAACATTTCCCCCTTTATTTTAAAAAAAGTATTCTTTTTTTTTAAATTTTTTAATCAGAATTTCATAAAATACCACGAAAAAGTTATCATCATAAATCAAGATTAAAAAAAGAGTACGAAAAGTTAAAGCAATAAGCTACACTGTTTAAGCATGTTATAAAAATGCATGTAGACATATCAATGAAAGAAAATTTTAAGACTTGGAGAGAGGCATTAAGGTTGTAGCATGAACACTGCCTCAATAGGACAAAGTTGGGTCACAAAATTTTTCCATCTTTACACCACCAGCTTTGTGACAAAGGTTAATTTCATGTCAAGAAATTAGATGCCAGTCGCTTGAGAAATGTAATAGTTCTAGAAATGAAAAAACGCATTCGGATAGAAGTTGAATATAAACCAAGCACTAGCACTAGATTGACTGCATGAATTACAGGCACAAGTAAAAACACTGTATGAAAAATTTTGTACAAGAAAAGATTTTCAGTGCCACTTATAGAGAATGCAAGCCCTAAGTGCAACTGATTATCCTCGGCACATAGATTTCTATCATTGGTTTTTGCAACAGCGGACATTCACTCCAATCTGTTAATGTGTGAGTAAGTTATTGCTAATGATTTCCTTATTAGCCTAGACTTGCTACCACATCAACTCAATGGCACAACATATAAAATCTTTCTGGAAGAGGTACTACTGGAATTACTTGATAGTGCTCCAGTGGCTGTTTGAAATGCTATATGGTTTCAGCACAGTGGAGTTCCAGACCATTTGCACAATAATATGCATAAAAACCTCAATGTCACCTTCGTCCTCTATGGACTGGATGAAGTGGACCAGTTTGATCAGTATATTTACCAGATTTATCAAGTATCTATTTTTTTCTTATGGGGACACCTCTAGGCACCTGTCTACGAGACTCGACTCATTGCAAACGAGACTCGACTCATCGATGAGGACCTCATTGCAAAATTCAGTCACTGCTGCAATTGTTCATGAAACATCTGGCATCTTTGAAAGGATACACCAGTCACTTGCTAGAAACTACCAAGCCTGTATGTTAGTGGTGGTACATTTTGAGCCCTTAATGTAATATTATAAAGAGCTTTTTTTTCATTTCCTCAGCATTTCCTGTTTTTCTGCCTATACTTTTCATTTGTTACCTCACACTACTATACAAAAAATGCTCCCTTATATGTATTTTACCTACCCTTAAAGCTTGACCCATGAATTTAGGGACATCCTATATATCAAAAGCAATTATTACAGAAGTTGGACAGAAAATTACCAGATCATAATAAAATGTCATATTTTATTACAAAATCAAATGAAGAAAAAAATGAAATAGGATGACTAGTGTATAGCAATAACACTAATTGTATGTAAACAGTTTTCATCAGTTGAGTTATCTTTTACTACAGGTTACACAGATTGGTAAAATTTTAAAGAATAATTTAACAACATGAATATTCAATGAAATACAAGAATTTCATAACAGCATTCATACCAAGAAGTTCTGTACATGGTCATACCGATACAAATACTGAAACCCTTTATTTGAAAGGAAAAAATAGTGTAGAAAAGTGTTTCAAATTGTGATTATAAAATATAAAATTTTTAAGGAAATATTCAGCCACATTTCAAAATGATAGTGAATGTCCCAGATTATCAACTACACCTAAAAGAAATTACCCAGGAGTCTTGGAGTTTACAGTTGAAATTGGCAAATTAGCGTCTCATATACAAAACTATGACTTAGTAGAAATGTAAATTATTTATCGTTGAACAATATGCAATGAATTAATTGAAAATATTAGTGAAAAACAATAAGCATTTTTTAAACTGAATTTGAGAAACCAAAGCAATATGCCGTAATTTTTAGTTCATCATGTGACTGATCATATATTGATTAACTTAATATACTATTTGTTAGATAAAGGTCAATGTGTGGGATGTCTCTTTGGATTTTACTTATACATTCACACACTCGTGCATCAGTGGAAATCACAGGATTGGGCAATTGAATCAGTTAGATATAAATATTAAAGATTGCAGAGATTAAAGCTATGATAATGCAGCAAACTGTCTAACCAATATAAATGTCTACTAGCTATAATTAAAGTAAAATAAAAAATGCATTATGTGCTGCGCACATCATATTCATGTAATTTAATTGCAGGTACCTCTGTTGTGTTGTCTGCAAGCTACATTATAGTTTAATTTGGTAGAAAAAGTTTTATATTTTTTTCTTAGTTATTGGAACGCTTTGGAATCTAACTCTGCCAAAAATCAGATCATTTCACTGTTAAGAGATTGTGTTAAGTGGCTGTGTCAAGCAGATGCTAATAAAAGCAATCTAAAATGGTTATAATAAAATGTGAAGTTTCTTCCTAAGAAGAGACTTATGGGTTAAAGATAATTAAAATATGATACTTATAAGTTACAATAATAGTTCAAATGTTTATAAAAATTGTCAATTGGATGTATTATTAATTACAATAATTATATTTGTTACAAATTACATTAGTCAAAGACATTCAAAATAAAATGAAGATATAACGATAAGTATATATATTTCTTTTAAATCCCTCCATTTCTTAGTAAGTATATGATTTTAATTTGGAAGATAAATTAAAGATGCCAAATGGTAATACTGTACAAAATTTCAATTTGTCAAACTGCAGGAATGATACATCAAACATGGATGAAAATTAAAATTATGCTGTCTGAATGGCAGTGCTTACCATGTCATATGCAGTTTGATACCACAGTCAATGCTGATTGTTTGTTACCTATTTCCATATTTAATTTGAATCCTCAATATTAAACAATAAAATGCCTTTGCGTAAGAAGAGATTGATGTACCATTTTTATTCACCTAGTATTTCTACCAAAGAACTTAATTTGATTCTACCAAAGTACAATGTTCCTATTGCTATGATGTTTTCTTCCTTGCGTATATTTAAATATTTATCTCGTATTCCTAAAATTATGAAATGCAAAAAAAATTTCTAAATTCTGTAATTAACCTCATTTATCATAAAAATATATCAAACTTAGAATAAGAATAAGGCTTCTTTACCTCTTCCAACATCTCTATAACTAAATTATGTTAGCAATAATCAACCCTCCTTAAGTTATGTGGGCACTAGCAAGGCTCCTAAAGGTCGTAATCTAATCTTTTTCGCAGAGCATATAGTCTCATAATTAACCTATTATCTTGAAAACTATTCATCTATTCCTTTCAATGGAAAAATAGGGCCACTTGACCCTCTAATAACTTTTACAACTAAATTTTGTCAATAATAATCAGGTCCCTTAGATATTAGCAAGCTTCTCTCTTAATTCACAAAGTGAATCAAGGTGCAAGAACAAAGGAAAGAGTGAAAGGAATCAAACAATGAGTGGGACTGGAAGAATCAAATGAAGTGAACTGCTAAATCCCTGGATTGATTTCTTTCAACTGTCAATTTAGAGATTCTATGAAACCCCCTTTATAAGTAAGTACTAATAATAAAATTCTGGAATAAAAGATATGAAAAATGTTGTGAAATTATAAAAATTAAACTCATTTCCATTTTAGAAATGAAACATTCCTTTCTTCTCTAAAATGGAAATCGAACATTCATGGCATGTTTTCAATAAGATCTCTTGAAGATGCCACTCAGTTTTATGTTTCATGGTTCATTTACTCAGTAAAGTGAATCAGTTCGCAAACGAATCTTACATCCCTATTAAAACATTTAATTTCTTTCTGAATTATCAGCTTCTAAATTAAAAAGCTTATAAATTCCAGTTCCACTAAATTGATAAGAATTTATGCTATCCAAATGAATTTAACTTACCTCCAGGGGCTCAAATTCCATATCAATTCGAATCTGGTTTTCTTGAATATTTTCAAAACAATTCATTGCACGCTGTACATCTTGCAGTTCATGAATAGGAAGACTTAAAGTTTTATTCTTATCATCAATAAAATCTGCTATTTCAGTCATCAAATTCAAGTATTTTTCATTAATATAACTTCCAAAAAGTGTAAACCAGCGATGGACATCATTCATTAAATTTTTAACAATTTTACCTGTTTAATAACAGAATTTGAATTTTATTTAGGAATTATATAAAAATATTATTAAATAAATATTTTCAATAAATATATGCAATGAACATATATATACTGAAAGAGAGGAGTTATTATAAAAACTTATTGTTGTTTCACATACATAGAACGAAGGCATTTCAACACTGAAACTATTGCCCCTCACCTCCCTCCAAGAATTTATGCTATCCAAATTTATGAATCCAAAGGTCCATTTAAAAATGCCAAAAATCTTTTTGAGTGTAGTAGACCTATTTGGAGATAAACTTGTAGGAGAAAAGCAGTAAAAGTATGTAAAAAGTTTAAAAAAAAAAAGAATTATTGAATTATTGACATGTACCCAAATAGCACATGACACAGCAAAGACGTTGCAAACTGGTTCGAAAGGTTGCAAAGTGGTTGTGGTAACTTTTGCGATGTCTTTACAACACAGCGAAAACACAAAATATTTGCCATTGCATCTTGCCAATTAGTCCATCTCATCGAAACGTTGTGATTTGACGGCTTTTAGATGTGGTCGTTTTAGCATTTTTTTCATAGTGCATCAATGTTACGTTTAGAATGAAAACGGACTAAATCTGCCCTTTCAAGAAGCTGAAGTCCTCATAAGATATATTTTGCAATGTTTTCATTACTTTATTTCATCTAAATATATTAATCTAAGGTAGATTCATCTAATGAAATATAAATTTAATATAAATGCTTTTGAATTATTAAATTTTAATTAGTACTAAAAATACGTGCTAAATTATTGCTTAAAATTTTGCTAAAATAATTAATACTTAAAATATTTTTAAAAAATATTATAGCAAATATTTAAAGATGAAAATAATCTATAACATAAATTATTAAGTTATGCATCTTATATATTTAAAGAAATCCTATTTCCGAAATCAATGAAAATGACATGTCAGCAATTAATTCACTACAGTCAAAAGTCGTTAATCCAGACTCGTCGGGACTTCGGCGATTCCGGATTATCGATTTTTCCGAATTATAGATCATCAGTTTAAATCTGGTAAGATGGCATGCAGAAATTACAAAATTAAAAATATGAAACCGTAATTTATGAAATAAAGAACAATTATGATCTAAAGGGTATCAAAATTTACAAAAAGAAAAAGCTTAATATTTATTTGTTTACTTTATTAAACATTTCTTTCAATGTAATTGTATTTCATATTACATTGAATTCAATGTAATTGTAATTCAATGTAATTTCAATGCATTCTTTCAATGCTTCGTTTCATGTGATAATACTTTCTCTTTAATTCTATTAAACAGACATAATTTCTTGTTTAGTTCAAAGTTTCCGCTGTTCAAGTCCTATACTTGCTGTGTTGAGAATACCGACTAAAATGTTTTCGTTTTCAAAAAAAGAAAAAAAAAAAAAAAAAAAAAAAAAAAAAAAAAAATAACCTGTGGGTCACTTTCTTCACTATCGGAAGCGAATTATAATGATGAGGAACTTGATTTAAATCATATCAAAGACAGAGTACATCGAGATGAAATATACTTAGTAAGGAATTATAAGCCAAATAAAATATAAACATCTGCCCTGAAGATAAGGATAGTGCTGACGATCAACTTCCAATCCGCTGCGTGAAATTGATAAACAGATTTCGGATTTTCAAAACATACTTTCGCTTTGTAGATACAAAATTACATATTAGTAAATATATATCGGAAATTCTATTTGACATAATCGAAAGTTCAAGCTTACTTTTATGAAATTGCTCTAACAGTCTGCAAAAAATAATAAGCCGGATCCAATTCGAAGATTAAGGAACAACGCAATCTGCAACATTAACTGAATTAGATAATTTTGGCTTAGCGTATACCTCCGTTACACATTAAACGCGCATGCGCACAAACATATTCGCAGCCATAAAGGTCTTACGCGCACTTTTAAACGCCTGTGCGCATGCGTGAAAGCGATGCATGAGCAGAAAGTTTGTAGCTTTGAGGTCCGGATTATAGATCATTCCGGATTATGGGTGTCCGAATTAACGACTTTTGACTGTACTGAAATATGATTTTATTTATTATTTTTCAAGTACGGACGAATTTATTTGAATTAATATGCTGACATAATATGAAACATTTTACCGCATACAGAGGAAAAAAGTACAATTTTCACGAAGATATGATTGTGCATGAAGATGTAATGCGGAGATTTTAAGAATTTTGAGAAAATGTCCAATTTTAAAAGACGATGTATACCCATGCATATTTAATGCGTGTCCAATATATATTACAAAAAACTCACTGACAGTCAGGAAAAGCTGAATGAAAAAGAGAAAGAAATATTGAACTTTTCATGAAAAATGACAAAATTAATAGATTTGATAAATTAATAATAAATGCTGACATCAAAACTAGAGAAATTGTGAACAAAAATACGAAATTCATTACCTATAAAAACTCTGATGAACTGTTTGCTGTGTTTTTATGTTTTTGTACATCTCCATGCATTCAAAATGCTTGGTTTAATCCTAGTATACGGTACACACGGGATTTGGGAACATTAACATTACATTTTAGCGAGCCCGATAAACATTTTTTTTGTAAATATAATCATGTGAACATTGTTCGTAATTCTATTCGGTTGAAATAATTCCTCCAGGCCATTTAAAAAAGATTCTATTAAATTATCAGAAGAACCGTCAAAAGGTTTAATGCAGTCGTATAAATCGCTGAAAGTTACACTGAACTGCTGTTCGACTGATGACATTCCATGTATATTATTTACTGGATGCTTATACAAATGAACATCTGAGCTCGAGGCTTTGGCTAGCTGCCAAATTTGGACAAGTTTTTAACTGCACAATGACTTCAGACTCCATCTTATTTTAAGGAATATTTTCTTCACAGTTTTCTAATTCACCGTTGAAATTAGAATCCTGTACTGTAATTTCTAATAGCAGATAAAAATTAGTTATCATAATGTCACCAAATCCCATTTGTACCATATACTAGGATTAAGGCAACTGCTTAAAAATAGATAAAGAAATGAATGCTGAGACATGTAATGACAATAAGCCTATTCATTTGGATAATGTAAAGCATATGTTGAAAGCCAAGAATTACAATGTGGAGTGAATTTCAGAATGTTTTAACTTTTGTTGAAAATTTGACAAATATTATTGATTAAGACACAATAACACGCCAAACAAATACTAATTCAGAAGTCAAACAACAAAAATCAGCGTTATATTTTCAAATTTTCACAGGACTAGTTTCGATGGATTTACCCAGCCACCATCCTCAGCTGCAAATGCGCTTTTGCAGCGTTGCGCTTTGATGAGGCTTTTGCGCAGCTGAGGATGGTGGTTTGGTAAAACCATCGAAACTAGTCCTGTGAAAATTGTAAAATATAATGCTGATTTTTGTTATTTGACTTCTGAATTAAATATTAATGACATTCTTGAAAATGATGTTGAGACAGCTGTTAAATACTGGAGTGCTTGAATACAGAAAGAGGACGATGTTCAGGAATATAATAATGGCCAGTGTATTTTGGAGCAAATGAAACTTCGAAAAATCAGACAAAAGAAAAAGGTATAGCAGTTATCTGACGGCATTTGCATACACTTTATACATATTATTCTTTCAAGTAATTTGGTAAAGATGCCATCTGTAAGATATTTGAAAAGACTGACTTCATGTTTCAAATTGAATCAATGACTTATTTATATAATATTGCTTATATTGAAAGTAAGTGTAATGTACTGCCAATCAAAGTGCGGTTTTGCTGAAAATGTAATCAATGCAGAAGCAAACACAATTCAAGCTGTTATAGAATGTTCATTATTTTTAGAATACAAAGAAATTTTTGGACTGGTATCAGTACTTAAGATAACTGCTGAAGACTTATTTAATTTAACAAAACAAGCTTTGTTGTTTGTTTGATATCATGTTCTGTGTTTGATAAATATTGTGTATTCGGCATCAGACATTCTTTGGAACTTTAGTGTATGATCTGCAAAGAAAAATTGTTAAGCTTGTACAGTCAAAAGTCGTTAATTCGGACACCCATTGTTGGAGACGGCTGCTACAGATAGACGATTACATAACGGAAGGAGCAGTGCATCTGATTGGACTACTTTTTATTATTCTTATTTTTTTCTTTAACTGCGAACTAAGCGGGGAAATTCCCTTTTCAATCAGTTATATGTAGGCACTAGTTAGAGTAATGTAATGTTTTCAGCTTGTGTAAGGTATCCATATTAAATCTTTATACAGTCAAAAGTCATTAATTCGGACACCCATAATCCGGAATGATCTATAATCCGGACCTCAAAGCTACAAACTTTCAGCGCATGCGTCTTATTGACGCATGCGCGTTTAATGTATAACGGATGGTATAAGCTAAGCTAAAATTATCTACGAGTAATTCAGTTACTGTTGCAGATTGCGTTGTTCCTTAATCTTCGAATTGGATCCGGCTTATTATTTTTTGCAGACTGTTAGAGCAATTTTATAAAAGTAAGCTTAAACTTTCGATTATATCAAATAGAATTTCCAATATATATTTGCCAATATGCACAGGATCTAAAGCGAAAGTATGTTTCGAAATCCGAAATTTGTTTATCAATTTCACGCTGCTCGGCGGGGGGAACGCCGCAGCACGCAATGAATTGGAAGTTGCTCTGTCAGCACTATCCTTATCTCCAGGGCAGATGTTTTTATTTTATTTGGCTTATAATTCCTTACTAAATGTAGTATTTCATCTCGATGTAATCCTTTGATATGATTTAAAACAAGTTCCTCGTCATTATAATTCGCTTCCAATAGTGAAGAAAGTGACAGAGTTTATTGAAAATGAAAATTTTCGATTGACAAATTACTAGTTGGTATTCTCGACACAGCAATTATAGGACTTAAACAGCTGAACTTTGTAACTAAACAAGAAATTATGTCTGTTTAATAGAATTAAAGAGAAAGTATTATCACATGAAACGAAGCAACTTAAACAACTTACATTGAAAGAAATGTTTAATAAAGTAACAAATAATATTAAGCTTTTTCCTTTTGTAAATTTTGATACCCTTTAGATCATAATTGTTCTTTATTTCATAAATTACGGTTTCATATTTTTAATTTTGTAATTTCTGCATGCCATCTTACCAGACATAAACTGATGATCTATAATCCGGAAAAATCAATAATCCGGTATCGCCGAAGTCCCGAAGAGTCCGGATTAACGACTTTTGACTGTATTAATAATCCCTGCTGTGATTATTTAATTTGTAACCTGCACGTTATAGCCCTGAGAGTTGCAACATAGTAAAATTGGCGTCCGCTACTTTATATTTTTGATGAAATATGGATATAAAAGTCTTGAAAGCAAAACGAAAGTCGCTGAGAACAGCTTTTACGGTATGCTGCAACGATATAGCTCAGAAGATCGAAAACAAAAGTTTAGGAAGTAACGAAGTCAGTATGTTGTTTCAGCAGATTCAAGACAAATTCACACGTATGAAAACAACTCAAGAAGAAGTTTCGAATTTGTTGCTGAGTGATGATGCCCTTCAAGATGAATATTCAGAAGATTTTTTGAAAGCAGAAGAATATCGTGACAAGTTCTGCTTGATCTGTTCACTATTAGAAAATGCAAAGAAGGCAAATTCGGTTACGGAAGAAACAACAACCGAGCAAAAAAGGAAATTCAAGCTTCCGAAACTTGAATTGAGGAAATTTAGTGGAGAACCGAAAGACTTTCTTGCTTTTTGGTCCCAGTTTGAGAAAATCCACATAGATAACTCTATTGTCGATGAAGATAAATTTCAATATCTTTTACAATGTGTGGTAGCTGATTCTAAAGCATCAAGACTGGTAACCAGTTTTCCACCAACTAATAAAACTATTCAAAGGTTATCACACAACTTAAAGGACGCTTTCGGAGAGATGAACTTTTGGTTCAGATTTATGTACGGGATCTACTTTCCATAGTAATGAAAAATACTGCTAGTAGGATTAAAGTAGATTTAGCTGAACTTTATGATTTACTTGAGAGCAAGCTTATGGCACTAGACAGTGTCAGTAGAACTAAAGAAAAATTTCCAGAATTTTTAGAGCCACTTGTTGAGTCTTGTTTACCAGAGACTGTTCTTCGTGCGTGGGAAAGAAGCCACTCGATGGAAGATTCTATGTCACAGCAAGATAATGTGCGTTCTTTGGATAAACTTTTGTGCTTTCTTCGGAAAGGAAGTGCAAAGTGAGGAAATGATCAAGCTCGCTCATATCGGGTTGGGAGCTTCACGTTCTGCACATTCGCGTCCACATTGTGATGATCCAGGTTGCTCTACAGCTGCTGCCTTGGTAAATGTTCAAGACAATACAGGTAGGTGAAATTTACGTTGTACTTTTGTGGGAAATCCCACAATTCTGCCGAATGTTTTGCTGCTCGCAAAATGTCTTTAGAAGATAAATGAAAGCTTTTGGTGCAAAAGCGCGCCTGTTTTCGTTGCCTACGAGTTGGACATAGTTCACGGGCATGCAAAACTAAAGTAAAATGTTTAACATGTGATAAATTTCACTATACCATTATGTGCTCAAATGGGGAACCTGTAAAACCAAATGAAACTGACAGTACTGTTATTTCAAGTAATGCATTGTCTAATCAGTCAACTGTTAATGAAAATGTGTATTTGCAAACACTTGTTTTAAAAATAGTATTTGAGGGTAGACAACTTACAGTTTGTACGATTTTGGACAGTGGTTCTCAGAAATCTTATCTTTCAGAAAGGGTTATCGCGTTTCTGCAACTGCATCCTAAATCAAAACAAACCACTATACACGATTTGTTTGGGGGGAGAGAGAAGTCCTCATTCCCATTTAGTGTTTGATGTTAATTTAAGAAATTTTGAGGGTACTTATGACCATAACTTTGAAGTACTTTCTCAAAAACAAAATATGTGGATGTGTTCCAAAAGTATTTGATCCCAATACCCTAAAAGAATTAAAAGAAAGAAATATTATTGTCTGATTTTCAAGCTACAGAATATGACATTGAATTGCTTTTAGGAGCAGATGCCATCGGAGGCATTATTACTGGCAGTTCTCTGAAACTGAACTCTGGTGTAACTGTAGTTGGGACTAAATTCGGATACACTGTGATTGGTAAAGTAAACAGCCTATCTAAAGAACCTACTTCAGCTACTATTCCAGCATTACTACAAAATAATTTGTGCAATAATGTAGTTTCATTGCATTGTGCTAATCTTAGCATAACTGAACTCTGGAATTTAGATGCCATTGGCATAACAGATCCAACTGAAGATGATAACCGTAAACTTGTTCATTCTGACACCGTTAAGTAATTTAAAGAGAATTTAAATGTTCTTCCTGATGGCCGATATGAATTGCCACTACCCTTTAAATTTGAAATTCTGTTACATAACAATAAGTCTATGACTTTTAAAAGGCATCAAAGAATGTGTCAACGAATTAATGAAAAAAATCAGTTAGATAACTATAAGGTAGTTTTTAAGCAATGGGAAGACCTAAAAATAATAGAAAGGTTCCTGAAACTAAAATTGATAATTTGAGTTATTATTTGCCCCACAGACCTGTTATAAAGCATACTAGCCAGACAATAAAGGTAAGGCCGGTATTTTAATAGTGAAATACACCAAATATTTGTGCTCATTTCCAAGTATTTAACTTTCTCTGAAAACATTATTTAAAACTTGTAACTGAGTTATTATAAAATGTAAGAGAACAATTCTCTTAATTATACTTATCAGATTTTTTTACCCTAACTTCAACAACACAGATTATAAAACTCTTCTTTATTACTTCCTTAAATATGCATCTCATAGAATCTGCTTTACAATACCTTTTAACAGATTCCTTTCCAGCATGAACATTTCTTGCTTAAATAGTTTTATAAACATATTTGTCAACAGGATTTCAATTATGTTTACAATTCAATGTTAAGGTTATTATATATTTAGATATTATTTTTAATCATTATAATTTAGATAGATTTAATAATTAGATTTAGAACAGAAATCAAGTAAAAATTAACTTATTGGCATATTTGTGTATATATTTATTAATTTTGACAAGAATTGTAGCATTTGGTGGTAATTTTATTTTTTAATTAACCCAAATAAGTAAAAAGGGTAAACCCAAATGATTATTTTTCAGTTCTATAAAAATAAAATGATGAGTTTAAATTGAGCAACTATAAAGCCTTTCCTCTAAAAATTTTTAAAAAGTACATGTTACAATATGTGGATGACAAAAAAATTTATTTTATTAAAAATATTTTGGCATTTGCAAGATAAAATAAAAGCAGTGAATACTCTATCAAGGGTATTGAAAGACGTATACAATTTTAAAGGTACTGTAAGGTATTTTTCATTTTTTAAGCATAACATTTTTGCTAAAATCTATATTTTTGTAGTTTAACAGCTTAGAATTTTATAAAACAAATTCATAATCAAAATTGCTGTTGTTAGTTATTGAAAAATAAACAAGATGTGAATTTTCTGTAAATGTCACTAAACTACACAAACTGCTATTATCCATCACACAATGAATGTTTCTTTTATGTAGAAGTGTTCCCTTTTTTTATTTGTATGGAACTGTCGTGTGTCAAAATACTATCAAAGCGCTGCCAATGGAGCCTCTGAATATAAACTAAAAAACACCCCATCTGCAGACTGAAGCCTCGGAGCAGTGCTTCATTTGTAGTGTGGGGTTGGCACCTCCTTCCTTTCTTATGTCTATGCACTGAGGGTAAGGGAATGAAGACAGTAGTGGAGTAAACAGCTTTAGAAAAAGTAATTTTTCCTACCCCTGGTAACTGAAGGAATCATTTCATTTCAAACTCACATTTGAAATAATGCTGTTCTTTAATTAATGAAAATGCAAAAGGTAATCATATTTTTAATTGCTAAGGTTGGAAGATATTAACAGTGATAAAGCTCACATAAAATGTTACAGTTTTTTTAGCAAATAATTTGAATTTAATTGATCCAAAATTAAAAGATATGATTAAAATTGAAATTCAAAATAAAAACTATTTCCCTCAAATGGAACATTATGTATTTTTACGTATGTATTTTATAACTTTTTTTTTGTATTATTAATAAGTTTGAAATAAATGCCAACTTAGATACCTTTTTCTTACAAAACTAAATAGAAATAATTTGTTTTTTGTATTATCTGTAATATCTGTAGCAAATTATTCTATAGTTTGTTGTGACAAAGAGAAACATAAAGATTTATAAAATAACTAAATGTATATATTATGTTTTGAACAAAGTGAAGAAAGAAACTTACTTGTAATTAGCTCAATACCAGGTACTGTATATGAATATGGTATATTGGACACAACACTTTTTAGATCATGATAGTACTCAAGCTTACACTTTAGATCATAAATCAATGGATTCTTTTGCATGTATTCCTGAAAAGAAATTTCATGTACCACATAAAATATATTTTATATAATTGTTAAATATGTATTTTATTCAATTTATAAAAAAAAAGTGTTATTGTACATATATGTATACTTATTGAAGAAATGTAGGTCATGCACACATCTCCACACTGGACAAGAAATAAGATGAAGTAAACAGTTAATCTACAATCTAGATATTAGTACACATGGTTTAATATGCTGCACTTTATGTAATTAACTTACAATAAAATACAAATAGTAAAGGAAGAGCATGAAGTAGCTTTTATGACTATAAATTCATTAGCATCTTCACCTTAGATAAAATTTCATAAAAAAAAAATTTAATAATCAGAGAATTAAGAATTTGACTAGATTTTAGTATGCAAATTTATACATTATACATGAATTTTTTCCTTATGTTTTGTTTAATTTATTCAAAGTTTCATACAGCTTATTTATTTTGATAATAGGTATATAATAAACTTAAAGCATCTAAAGTTAAAAGTAAGTTGGAGTCAAAGCAAGGCAATTCCTCAACAATATTAGTAATTGCAACCGTGTATAAAAGGTTTAACACAAGATCTAAACAAATCAAAATTAAAATAAGAATTCATAGTAGTACAAACTCGAAAAATAAAAATGCAAAATGGAAAAAATACACAAGATAATAAAAATATAAAATTGAACCTCATTCTACTGAAATTCCAATTCAGAGCTCATCAGGGGGAAATAAATTAAAGCTTCACAAAAGTTGATTAATATGTTCTGAAAACGTGTTTCATTCTCCTGGTTCATTTGAGATTAAAAACCGAAAAAAGAATCAATTAAATTTTCATTTAAGACATTAAAATTTGTATAAAACCTAAAAATTGAATCTCAAATGTACCAGAATTTTCCCTACATGCCTTCGAAACACTTGGAAAAAAGAATGAAACATTATGCCAAATTGACAACTCAAAAAAAAAAAAAAAAAAAAAAAAAACTTTGCATTATGTAATATGACCATTAAAAAAAAAACCAAATTGGTCTAAAAAACCATTATATGCAAATATGAAATTCAAAAGCAGATACAAATAAAGAGCATACTTTAAACCAAATTGTCATTTAAACAACACTCAAAAATTGGGTGGTTCCCAATTATGCTAAACTAAACTTTTAATACCAAGAAAACGAAAAACTTTTCAAAGAGATTTCTTTAAATAATAAAATCAAATTTGAACCTTAATCAGCTAAAAACTGAAAACCTATCAGAAACAAAAATTGAGGGGGGGGGAACGCAATTAAAAACTTACTGAAATCTTAAGACCTTTTAATTGAAAATTTACTGAATTTTTCAGACAACCAAACTGTGTTCCTTATAGAATTCAAAGCTGCTCTGGAGAAGCAAAAAATTGTAGTTCTTGGAAAAAGTATGCAATAAGTTTCAGTGTCCAATAGAACTAAGTATTTAAACATGTGTTCAAAATGTCCTTTCTTGTTAGATTTTGTGTGGGGGAAAGGGGGTGCCAAACATTGGGTGCAGTCTGTAAAAATGATTACCTATGAGGAGTGTGATCGTCGACTCTAAAATAGCAGTGTAAGAAACTTCTGAAAGATGCTATCTTCAGTAAAATCTTAAAACACAAAATCAGTACTGTTTCAAAGTTATATATACTTTTCATTTGCTGAAGTCACATAATTCTCTTTTATTTTGTAATCCTATGATGCACTACAATTCTTTCTTATGTACAATTTATATCTTAAAAATAAATTAAAAAATTTGATTTTAATTTTTTTAATTCTATCCCAACATTTACATTTTTAATCAATACTTTTCAATTATTTTTCCAAAATTAATTATATTTAATTTCCAAATTTTACTACATATTAAAATTATTTTAATTTAATTTTATGTAATTGATACCAATTTTTAGTTTCTAATTAATTTCTAGTTTTTATTTCTCCAAAAAGAAACTCAGTGGTAAAACAGCCTTTAGTTAGACATGGCCTGCAGTGAACTGATATCTGCTTTCTTGCCCGTAGGCCCCCATGGTACATAAGTATATACCCTGGACAAGTGGTCAGCATGTCACAGGACCCCTCCTGTTTAGTCTCCAAGCAAACTTGGTATTCATTTTACCATCACAGTCAAGGGATGAAAGGCTGAGTCAAACTTGCCCAGTCTGGGGATCGCAGTGCTGCTGTGCAATTTGCCAACCACTCCACCACTGGGCTTCATTTTCATTTTTCAGACTGTAAAATTTTTGTGCATTTTGTTAGTTCTTGCATTACTTTCGATTTTTCCTTTTCTCCAGCTTCTGAGCTGAGACTCAACTCTTTCTTTAAGACAAGTCACAAGAGTTAAGGTGCATCCAGACAATAATACTGGCAGAATAAATCAGAGAACAAAATGTGTGTTGCTGACGAAAAGTCATCCAAACAAAGATGCGAGTGAATCTGCATTTAGCTAATTATTGAAAAGTAAAAAATCATGTGACACTCACAGAATGCTGGAAGAGCAAAGTGTTAATTCTGCTGTCATTGTCTGCTCAAAAGAATGTCACACTCGCTTAATTTTATAATGAAAGTTTGCTCATTAAGCAATTTACAAAAGACCATAGTAAGATAATGCAAATGACAATTTATTTAATTGTTTTTAAATACACAATATGCAAAAGAACTGAATGGTTTAAAAAAACATTCACCATATAATAAATTTAATTTCATATATTTTTAAGAGTTCTTTTTTTCCCTCCACCCCCCCCTTGGCTTGCTGTTTATGTGCTGTTTGCTGCTGGTGTTTGGAACTACATGTACTTAAATGGCCTGGTCATGAAATGAAAATGAATGAAAACTGGTGCTATAAAAAACTTTTTCTGTCAAAGGCCATGGGAACCAGACCTTCCAACTCTATCAATCCTCGACATTTCCAGGAAATGGATTGATAGAGTTGGAAAATTACCTAAACATTCAAAAGGTCAAAAACTGAACAACAGTTGCCAAAATCAGAAGTGGCTGTAGAAGACAATCTTCAAGGCTTACCTATTACTAAAATAAAATTTATTAGATCAAAGAATTTTCTGCTGAAATTGTGGATTGGTTACCTCTGGCAAGAATTATGATTTATCCCCAAAACTAAAAAATACCATAGCCTATCTCTGGTACAATTTAAGCTATATTCCTGATAATATTATTAAAATTATTTTGTTTAAATACGCATAAAATGAGAACTACTGCTAAAAATTCAATAGTGTAACAAACCAAAAAATCTAAATAACATTCTACCCCCATTTTGAGGTTGAACGTTTTATTCTTTCCCTAAATTTTGAAATTGGAGTCTACCAGTGTTGGCAGAAAATGAAAACACAATACTGCACAGTTATTTTTAGGAACACATCATGGCATGAGAATACATAATCCACACCAAGCTATGATCCATGTAAGTGACCACACGTTCCGATTTTGGCGAGACAGTCCCGTTTTTTGGAAGACTATCCTGTATCCCGCAGATTTTTCAAAATGTCCCACTTTTTAGAAAACATCTGAATTTCTTATTTTAAATGTACTGTAAAAATACATTACCTATTATTTATTAATTATAATAGTGAATATAAAGAAATAAAAATAGATTTACTCAGTGGTGTTCGATCTTTGTCGTTACGTCTCGTCAAGGAATATGTACTGTTAACGGAGGAACAGGTAGCATTAGCTGATGGGCTATTTGCTTTCCACACCATAAACTACAATCAAAGTTTCATATCAATTGATTGTACATCGCAAATGATCAAAACATTGTACGACCAAAAATTTGCATGTGCAAGGACAAAAAAACTGAAGCAATTATTTGTAATGTTTTTCAGTATATTCGTTTTCACAATTGCAGAAAGAATTAAATAAATGCACATTTATATCCATATATTATGATGCTTATTATGAGCCCATTAATCTATACTAAGGCCAGATGTGGTGGTCTTTTTATTATGGAGACACCTAATAGGTGGGCCACCATTGCCTCCTATGATGGGACGGACAGTTACAACCATGCCTTCTCCAGGATTCGAACCCAGGCCTTTTGGTATTGCAATCAAGCTTCCCTAACCACTATACCATCTGGGCGGCTGCCGGGTGAAACTTCATAAATAATTTTTGATTCAATAAGCATTATTTAAAAAAAAATAATTTTAACAATAAAATTATTTTCTATTGTGAGGCAATAATTTTATTGTTGACACTAATGCAAATTTTGGTGGAAAAGCTAGAAGAAGCATCAATAACATTTTTACGAAACTTAATGAACGTTTGAACTAAAAACATTATTCGAGTAGATTGTGTAGTGCACATTCTACACAATACTATTCAAAACAGCATCTGACTTATTTCCAGTGGATATTGAAATATTATTGTAAAATTATTCGTATATATATATATATATATATATATATATATATATATACTGTGTGTGTGTCGAAAGTTTTGAAGGATTTTTGTGAAAGCACAGAAATCGAATGTAAAAGAATTTTTGGTTACAGCAAAACACGATGACTAGCTCTTTTACCAACTATAGAATGTATTTTAAAAATATACGAACCATTAAAATAATACTTTTAATCACAAGATAAATGTCCAAGAATATTGCAGCTGTTTTTATTGCACATTTATATCCATATATTATGATGCTTCCAGCCACAAAGATTTAAAATTAGTTCCCACAATTGTTAGACTGTTTGATCCAGAAGCAGAAATTAAAATTAGAATATTAGATTTTGTTTCATTGCCGGGTGAAACATTTTTTTTTTTTTTTTTTTTTCCAATAGCAGATTTGAACAGTTACAGTTTTGTAACAGAGTCCGTTAATCTATACTAAGGCCAGATGTGGTGGTCTCTTTATTATGGAGACACCTAACAGGTGGGCCACCATTGCCTCCTATGAAGGGATGAACAATTACAGCCATGCCTTCTCCCAGGGCTTAATTTCTAAAATTAGAAGTGCCGGAGCCCTATGGAAGACCGTCAGCAAAGAGGAGAACAAGAGTAAATAAATAAATAAAATGACTATTAAAATTATAATTTTTAAAATTAAATATTTAATTATTATCAAATTAATTAATAGATATTAGATTAATGTTTATTAATTGTTATTTTATAATTATTATAAATTAATTAATTATAATTTAATTGAAAATTATTAGATAATTAATTATTTATTGAAATAATTAAATAATTAAAATTAAATAAAATGTAAAGAGATAAAATTTAATAAGCGATTTTTAATATATTTTATTGTTAAAATAAAATTTTCAAGATAAAATTTCTACTGAAATTGTTATTTAATTGCGTAAAAGAAGTGCAGCAGCCTTCTTATTCAGGGCTCCGGTGCGCTCCAGCTAGAATTATGATTTATTACAAAAACTAAAAAACACCAGACCCGGGATACGGTGTGCTCCAGCCCAATTTAAGCTGTGATTTAAGCTGATATTGCAGCTGTTTTTTGAAAATGACACATCACAAATTGTCTTCAATTCATCCACAAACAAGCTACATGTGAAAATTATTGAAGGAGACAAAATTTCAATTACGGAAGTGTGAAATGAAATCAATAATTTTAAAAACAAAACTGTTTTAAAAACAAAACTGAAAAAGAATTGATAGTGATTGCATTCCTTTAGTTATTCGAAAGAACATCACTAGGTTGGAAGAACAATGTGCCATATTAAACAACCTGATTTTCTGAAAGAAGTCAGAAATTTTTATAATAATTGCTTGGAATATCTTGAAGACGAACAGTTCAATTCGAGGATATTAAAAACTTTCTTTGGTGACATTAAAAAAGGAGATTTTATGGGAATATGTGGAAAAATCTTTTTAATATGTTAGTAACCATTTTCGGAAAAATAATATTTTGTGAAAATGATCTTTTTGATGAGGTGTCATTGGTAAAAAGATACATTACTGATGCAAAAGTTAAATGTTGGTTGTCTGCAAATGTGGAAACAGACAAAAAAAGGACGGAGTTATTCCTTCATTTTAAACAGAATAATATTCCTTATGAAAATACTTTGAAAATTGTAGAACACGCACTCTCTCTTCCAAGAACAAAAGCAGCAACAGAACGTGCTTTTTCTAGTATCAATAAAGCATGGGCAATTGAGAAAATGCAGTTGAACATTAAAACTTAAAAATCTGTATTAAGCCTAAAATATAGTTTGATTAATTCATGTGAGAAATTTCATGACATTTTAATAAATGATCTGAATTTATTGCAAATATTCACTCGGATAAAAAAATATGACGGTGAAAGAAAATCATAATTTTTAATAAAATATTAAATTAATAAAAAACATAATATTCAAATTATTGTTTTTACAAATATTTTTATAGTTACCAATAGTTAATGATAAATATATTTTTGTATATTTATAGACAAGTATATGAATGTATATAATAAAATATATTTTTTTGAATCATTGGTCTGCTTTCATAACTAAATTATAATTCTCATTTCATTATATTTGTCCCGTTTTGTCTCAATGAAAATTTTGTCACTTTAATCTAAGTGTAACTGTTTTATGTTATGTTTCAAAGGCAAATTTTACAATATTCCCTATCAAGTCTTTATTATATAGGGAAAAAATTTAGTTTCTTCTTCATGATATAATATACTCTTTCTTTCATAATCAGTAATATAAACATGTATGTTTCATTTATTATTCAATGAAAATGCAAATTATATAAAGTTTATTATATTACAAAATAAATAAATTTAAAATAACATAAACATCCATAAAAATATATTAAATCTAAGTCTACACAAATAGATAATATTACTAACAAATACAGATTAAAATTACTACATATAGAAAAATATCTTTAGTACATTTAATTTTCAAAGCAAATAATTCTATTAGAAAATTTAATGCATTTTTTACATGAATTGAATAATTCAATATGAACATAAGAAACTAAAATATAATACCTGAATTTTTTTTTCTTTGTCCTGAGCCCACAGCTCTTGATATACACGAAATAAATCAAAAACTTTAGATATTTCTGGCTGAACACTTTTAGCAGCAGTTTCCAAGAAACTGTACAATCTCATTGTATCTGATAGGTCCAACACCCTACGATGAAATGTCATATGGGCTTCACCAGGTTGTATTGACTTTAGAGGACTTTTAACTAGAAAATACAAAAACTGTTCTATTAAAATTATGTTAAAAATGCAGCATAGAACTTTATGTTTCATTGTATACCTAGTTTAAGAAAACCTAAATTGTAAACACTTTAAGTTAATAAAACAAAAGAAACTTTAATATCAAATAAGCAATCATTCTGAAAACAGATACTGAAAAGCCAGATAAAGTTGCCTAGAATTATGTGTGCTTTTTGAACTATTTTTAAACCTCCATAGAACTACATACCTCACTTGAAGCAATCAGTCTTTTCCTTAAAGTAACACTCAAAACAAAGTGGGAGGAAGTACTTTTTTACTTAACTCTTAAGCCAAAACAAAACTAAAATCTTACGTATGTTAAAAAAAGATTTTCTCCATCACATTCACCCCTTTCCCCCAAAAAAGAACCTGCAAATCTAAAAATTTCAGGTTACAATTTTAATATCTCAAAGAATTTTACTATTAGTTTCAAAAAGTTACAAAAATATAAAAATTGAAAACACATAAGAATTATGAACTCTTGATTGCAGCTATGCAATTTAAAGTTTATGATTTTTATTTTTTTTAAAACACAATTTCAAAGTTTTGCATAGATTCCAGTTTAATTTCTAAGATATTTTAAAATATTTCAAGCTAAACAGTTATTAGCTTAATTCTCCGGGAATTCAAAACATAGAACATAAAATCATATATTTAAAATCAGGAATTAAAAATTAGCAAGGCCAAATGGCTGAAAAATTGCTAACATTAGTTAGCATTAGTTTATGATGAAAATTATTACATCATAAACTAATACTACATAGAAACTTGTGCAATTCTTTAATAAAGACAATTATTCAAGACAGTTGCGTATTTATTTCTATGGATTGCCTGCATGTAAGACTTGCAATATTTTTTTTTTTCGTGGCAATGCTTTTTACTTTACCAGGACACAAAATCTACTTAAATTCCACTTAATCTACTTCCAAATCAGTAACATCTCCTCAAGACATTAAAAAAAAAAAAAATAAATAATAATTAAAAAAAAAAGCACATTGCCAAATACTTGTTAATTTTTAAAAACTGAGATAATTTATTTTTACTACAAGATTAATAAACAAGATTTTTGACATAAAATATGCTGCATCACTGTCATTATTTTTGAAAAAAAATATGAAAACATACCATTGACTTCGTCTCTCATCACAGCAACTTTATCTATCGTTTTCTGAATTATAGACACACTGTCATTTAAGGAATTTTGCAATAAATCCAAGTTTGGTTCAATTGTCTGCATTAAAAATAATAAATTTAAAAAAACCATTTTGGAAACAAGGACATTATTATAATATACAGTATCTGGGCATGTACGTATCTGTTAAAACATAACTTATCCTTAAGAAAACTAAAATATATCAGTAAAGGATATAAATGTTCAAAGAAAATTTAATATGAATTTCCATCTTCAATATAATGCCAGAAACAAAAAAGTTCAAACTAGGGTAAGTTTTTGTATGTAACTAAATTGTTACTGATGATTTAGTATGTCTCCATGAATTAAATTGTGTCCTTAGAAGTATAAAATTACCTGCAGATATTAAATACTTTAAATAATTTTATACTTCTGAACATACATTTATTTCCATATTTTAGATTAAAATATTCTGTAACAACAACAATTAAACAACCACTACCATTAAAATATTCTGTAATTTCATATTAATAATGTACACATATCGCAAAACTACTCATAAGTGTTCTTGATGATTTGTGAGAGGTGTACAGTCAGGAATAACAGTACAGTACAAAGTCCGTAATCTGGACGTCCATTAACCAGAATAATCTATAATCCGGACCTCAAAGCCATAAACGTTTTTTTTGTATGGTTTACGCACGCGCGTTTAATGTATAATGGACTGTATAAGTTAGGCTAAAATTATCTTTACCAAATTTGAAGGTTTTAAGACATCGCAAACTTAAAAGAAAAATTTTCCCGTTATTGGATTTTGTAAAGAAATGTGGAGAAGCGGTAACAAATGAAGATGATATAACAGAAGTTTGGCAAGTTAGTCGGTATTTTCAACACAGCAATTACAGGACTTGAACAGTGGAACTTTGTAACTGGACAAAAAAAAAAATTATGTCTGTTTATAGAATTAAAGAGAAAGTATTAGCACAAAAAAAAAACGAAGCAACTTAAACAACTTACATTGAAAGAAATGTTTAATAAAGTAAACAAATAAATGTTAAGCTTTTTTTTGTAAATTTTGATACCCTTTAGATCATAATTGTTCTTTATTTCGTAAATTATGGTTTCATAATTTTAATTGTATAATTTTTACATGCCATCTTACCAGATTTAAATTGATGATCTATAATCCGGAAAAAACCCCTAATCCGGAATCGCCGAAGTCCCGATGAGTCCCTTTGCAACCATCTGCATTAAACTGAGCTGTTGAACTTCAGAGTATGTATTTGCATTTGCTTTATAGTTTATTTTTTGTGTTTGGTAATTGTTAAAGAATTTTAATTCCGAATTACAATTAAAATTTAAAACTTATATAAGCGTTTTGTCTTCTAAAATGTAAGTATAGAAGGAATGATCAATAGCTTAATCAATATGCAGAGTATCCCAAAATAATGTTTACATTATTTGAACAATAATAGCAGAGTAACTCCAAAAGATAACTCTGTGTGGACTTTTAGGTTGTTATATATGTTGAGTGCAATATATATGTTGAGTGTTTCCCAATGTTTTTGTTTTTATTTCATCACAATTTATCAGGTGGCATGCATTATTGTGCGTGAAAGAGCAGAGTTAAGCATGTTTCTTTCTTCCCCCCCCCCCTAAGAGAAATGTAAGGGGACTTTGAAGTATCAGTGAAAAACTTAAAATATGTATGAGGTGCAAAGACGATGGAGAACAGAGTTTTTATATTCTGCTACCATCAGATGTAGCCATTACAAGATTATGAGATATGTTTCAGGAGAAGAAGTTTTTTGTGTAATATTAAGAAAAGATAATGCAGCATAAAGAAAACAGGAATGGGCTTAGATTACAGTGGAGCTGTGATATGGACCTCTAAGGAACACTGCATATTCTATACAACCATAAATACTGGATGACATGAGACACGCAATTGGTAGTACTACCTTTGCTACCCTTCTTTTGTAAATTGTATCCACTGTTTGTTAATCTTTTACAGCATTAAAGATAATGTATTGCTGACAGTGGTGGTCATTTGTAACATTTATTATTTCAAGATATATGACATCAAAATATTATATTAATACTTCCGTATTTGCAAAAATATTAATATTATTTAAATATATATATATATATATAGTAGTAGTAGGTAGAAATATTGCAGCGAACTTGCTAAAAAGTTACCAGGAGCTGTAGCTCCACGAAATATTGTAACACATTACTACATAAATAATAAGAAATTCGTCTGGAAAAACTGGAAAAAACTGTAAACACGTGATAAAACTGCCAAATTTAGTGCTGGAAGACTTGCTAATGCATGAAAAAAATTAATTAATCTGACTGTTGTGAAATGTGAAAAGTTAACTCACATGAAAAATAGATCGATGGAAAAAAAAAATATATATAAGGAAGGTACAAAAAACATAGATTATAAAATGCCAACATATAAAATGCCTATACATAAAAAATTTAAATTAAAAATAAAAAGAAGACACAAAATGCATCAATACAATATACAATAAACAATAATTAAATAGCGGAAAAATGGTAAATTAACGCACTCGTACTCTCAGTTGGCTTTTCAATGGAAAAAAACTGTTTTACGAACTAGGTTAAATACCATTACGCGTTTCGCTGAAATAGACCATTGAAACTCTTGTTTAATGCGAAAAAATTTTTTATAAAAGAACATTAGTATTTCCGAAAAAATGTTTTTGGAATAAATCCTTTTTTGTAGCTCCACTGCTCTGTTCCTTTTCCCCGACGCGTCCGCTGAAATACACATTAAGGTGTCAAAAGCTATTGTAATTCCGAGCAATGTAAAATAAAAATCAAAATCAAAGTAGAAAATTAATAAAATAAAATAAATAGCGGTCTGCTATTAGTCAAAAATCACAACAACGTACGGGCTGGTCCTTTAAACCTTAAAGAATATGTAACTTTTATTAGAAGAATGGTGCTGTAAACAATAAAATGTAATCAATTTTTGTAAGTAAATGAATAAACGTCGCAGGGTCTTATTAAGACCAAAAACCTAGACAAAGAAACGAAAAAACTGACCTGAGAGGTTCCGTCCTCAGCTTTCGAAATATTTTTGGAAAAGGGCGCAAAATCCCTTCGTTGCCTAAGCCAACCTTCCTTATCGTATAGTGCGACGTCGTCGTGCAAAGCTATAAAATCTGAAGAGGCCAATGGGCTGAGATTGTAAGTTGGCGGGAAGTCTTGTCCCTCCCTTTTTTTTACAGAAGGGTGTGACAGATGAGAAAAGACACGGAAAGAACTCAAAATGGCGTCAGTCAAGTTGTAAGAAGAACAAAACTGTTAAAAATAAGTGAAAATGGCTAATTCAGCTAAAATTACTTATTTTTGGCCTCAAAAGAAAGTGTAAATTGGGGGGGGGAAACCTTTGTTAATAAAAGTCGTCATTCTTCAAGCTAGAAAGCTGTCAAGCTACTATGAAAAATGAAAAGGCCCGATTTGTTAATAAAAGCAGAGTTTCGCCTTCTAAGTAATTTAAAACTATTACATAATAGTATTAAAGTAAAGTGCCAAAATCTTTGGAGGAATGAAAATGTATGTAGAAGAATTAACTGTACATTTATACAATTTTTACGTTAGATAATCTGAATTAGCCATCCATCATTTGCCTTCCGGTAGGCTTTAAGCAAAAAATTTTATTATCGAAAACAAATTATCTAAAAATTGGTAAGGCTAATGCCAGCATTTTTTAAAGTATTTTTAATTATTTTCTGAGGAATTTGGTTATTTTTCAAAATCGTGACGAAGTAAAGTATTTCTTCTTGTAAGTGTTCTGTAGTATTACAGATCCTTTTTATTCTAAGAAGCTGTGAAAAAATGGTGTTAATGATGATTCTTTTGGAAATATTAGAATTCCAGTTGGTTAACTTTAGTGTAGAAAAAGTGAATTCTCTCCTCTTGTCGTAGACTTTAATAAAATTGTAATCAATGATATTAAGGTCAAGGTATACTACATTATTTTGCACCGTATTTGTTTTATTTAGCTTTAAGTTAGTTGGGTAGATATTAGCTGCTTCTATTTTGTTATGGTTGTTAAAGGCTATGATATCATCAATGTAACGATAAATGTGTTGATAATATATATATATATATATATTGCTTTGGGATGCTCTGCATATGGCTTTGAGAGAAGTCATAGTGCTGTCTGTTGGCATGATAGTTCTGGATCCAATTCCTAGATACCAATTTTTTTTCAAGGAGTACTCCATTTAAGTGACAGTTTTGTCATAACCGCACACTCATAATATCAATACACTCATGAATTCAAGTATACTTACATATGTGGGCATATATATATGCAATCAACTACCAAGTTTGAAAATTGATTTACACATTTACATATTTGAAAAATGAATATCATCATCTTTAACTAACAATAATTTTCTATTACAAAAGTTGTGAATATCAATTGATTCACTAAATAACTATGCATCACAAATCAAGCAACAAAATTTCACAAACGTTATAAAAACTAAATGTAAGGATAGAAATTACAAATTTCTTGTTTTGCATATTAAATATTGTTATGTTATTTTCTTCCTTCACATTTGTATGGGGTTCTTAGATTTGGAGTGAATAATGACAACACTTGATGAAGTATCGAAACACACTTTATTGAGCCAAAAATAATCAGGACAGCTCCAAAATCACGTTTACAGTCTTTGAAGAACTACTAAGGACATGCTGTAACAATCAGTAATACAGCCTTCAGGCAATCAGGCTATAACACTGAAGAAAGCTTCACAACAAAGCACCGGCGTACAGCTCCCAACTCTTCTTGATCATTCTCGGAACTCCACATACTCTCGAGACTCTCCACGCAACTCGCAATGCACACGACGATACAAAAGAGTATAGTTCTCCTCTACTCAGCACACTCTAAGACAAAACTCGATGATACACTAACTCGCAATACACTTAAAGACTCTCTCGATGCACTCGACGACCAACTTGGCACTAGACTGTGAGACACTCTCCCAATGACTGACTATCAACTCTCTAGACAAGGCACTAATTCTCCTTGTACCAGCAGGGTTTATATAGCT